AAAATATTTTAAATATAACAAAAACTGATGGTTTCTCAAAAAGCTGAAAAAATGTAATGAATTAATAACCTAATTTTTGTTTTCATATAAAAAGTGCTGGAGCAATAGCACAGCGGTAGGGCATTTGCCTTGCACACAGCCAACATGGCCGACCTGAGTTCGATTCCTCTGCCCCTCTCTGAGAGCCCGGCAAGCTACCTAGAGTATCTCGCCCGCACGGCAGAGCCTGGCAAGCTCCCCGTGACGTGTTCGATATGCCAAACATAGTAACAACAAAGTCTCCAATGGAGACGTTACTGGGCCCTCTCGAGCAAGTTGATGATCAACAGGAGGGCCTTTATTTTTATTTATTTTTATTAAGTTTTATAGAACAAATTAATCTTGAAAACATTATGTTGAATTAAAAATTATGTAATAGTCACATATTATATGTGCCTAGGTGTATAAAAAAACTAAATTGCTAATACTATAGATTAATATTGCAAATTGATTCATATCTGAATATCAGATGAAAATATAAGAGGTGCAATCTATTAACTGTGTTGGATTTACACTGAAGTTAATGAAAATGATTGGCTGGATTTCAGATTTACTTTCAGAGACATTGCTAAAGGAATTTTCTACTAACTTATGTAAGATACAGATTCTATATATGTTTAGAGTAAAATGTTATCAGAGAAAAGTACTTTTTCCTAAACTTTACCAATAAGAGCTCACTAAAATATATACTCAGAAAGAAGCCCTAATATTTCTCTATATAATCTTGGGGTTGAAAACACTAAGTGCTTTCTTCTTTTAGGACTATATAGGTTTTATTATTGGTGGAGGAACAATAGAGATGACTATGACACTACTCTATTATATTATTTAAAATGATTAAATTATTTTAATAATAAAATTATTGTTTTTCTTATAATAATGGAGCACATTTTTGTTCTCAAACTGAAAACTTTACTTTGTGTTTCCTAAATTTTTAATATTCAGTCTTTAATCTGCATTATGTTCTAAGATAAAGCAAAGTTAATATATGTTATCAAATTTTACTTGAATTTTTAAATATAAATTTACATTTTGCTACTTTAAATCATTTTGAAGAATCAATTGCTACAGAAGATGGAAATTATTTTTTGTCAAAATTGAAGGTATTGTTCCACTTCTTTTTCTCTAAAGTGTTTTTTTTATTTTAAGACACTTTCTACCCGTTTTCTGTAATTACCACATCATATTAAATGGGGTTCATACAGTAGGTATGATGAGGTTCAGACAGTAGGCAACAAATCAGAGATAAATATATATTTATATAATAAATATATTTAATATGTATTTGTATAGTAATAAATATAATGTATAATAAATAAACAAATATTATATGTTTATATAATAATAAATATATAATAAGTACAATAAATAAGCAATATATTTGTATATAATAAATAAATATAACATATAATAATATATATTTATATATTTAATATATATTTATACAATAATAAAATAAAATAAATAATAAATAATATATTTATATGATAATAAACATAATACATAATGATATAAATGCATAATAATATAAATAATATAAATATAAATATAATACATAATAAATATAATATAATATTAAATATATATAAATATATATTCTCTAAATATTTTTTGAGAATCATTGTGAGATACACAGTCTGTACACAGGCTGTGTACATTTCTCACCATCAGTGTCCAATGTCCCCTCTTCCTCCCCCCCCCCCGCTCACCACCAGCCCACCAGCCCATCTCTATGGCAGGCACTTTCCTTCTCTCTCTCTCTCTCTTTTTCTCTCTCTCTCTCTCTCTCTCTCTTTCCCTGTCTCTCTCTCTGAGCATTATGGTTTGCATTACAGAGACTGAGAAGTCATTATGAATAATTGATTTAAGAGTGAACAATGACTTTTAATGTATGCCAACTACAATCAATATAAACTAAGTTACTCTTATGAATATGTACCGATGTGTTCTCATAAGTATATAGTATATAAGTATGCAGTATATCGGTATACTTGCATCAAAATAGTTGGGAACATACAAAATCTCACGTTTCTTCTATATAGGTAATTTTTTTTATTTGTCTAAGATTCTTAAACTACTCTGGGATAGATATAAAATTTTTGGAAAATGATATTTTATATAATACTGTTTACTTTGTGTTGTGAAGCACAAAGCGTATATACTTTGGACAGTTTAGTCATCAGGGACTCAGTAAGGAAACAAACAAACTTTGACATAGAGCCAAGTGGGGTTAGACAGGTATATGATGTTAAATGCATAAAATTTTACAGATAACTTTGAGTAAAAAAAAAACAATAAAAAGAGAATTTTAGCAAAGACCATTACTATTTGCTGATGGCATTTTATAAATAGAAATTTAAAACTTTTAAGTAATTTATGTTTATGTTTTTATTACCCTTTTCTAATGTCTAAAGAATGTTCTTTTAGTATGTTTTGTGGAGAGTGAAGAGGATTGTGCTTCAGGGAGACTAAAAAATATATATGACAAAATACATACTGCTAAACTTTACAACTGTTTCAACATGATATTTTAATACCACTTATTCTTTTTGAGCAAACTCTCGGCCATAAGCTTACACAAGGTCAATGTAAGACTTAAATGAAAGCATAATCTTTTGGGTTTTACTGTCCATCTGTTTGAGGGGTCACACCTGGCAGTGCTCATGGCTGACTCCTGGCTCTGCATTCAGGGATCACTCCTGGTAGGGTTCAGTGGGCCATATGAGTTACCCAGAATCAAATAGGGCAAATCATAAGCAAGACAAGCACCTCCTTACCTTATATATTATCCCTCTATGCCAAAAGCATATATTTGAGAACTAAATAATTATATATAGTAATGGAGAATAACAAATTATATTAACTTCAAGACATAATAATATAGCAGGATTGCAGAATGGAATGTCAGGTGAATTTAGTTCATCGGTTTAAATCTTGTTTATTGAAAACGTACACAACCAAAATAGATAATGGAATGGCTGAAGGGTGAGAGATTACAGCAGATAAAAGGAAGTCTCCAGTCAGTCTCTCTCTCTCTCTCTCTCTCTCTCTCTCTCTCTCTCTCTCTCTCTCTCTCTCTCCTCTTTCTCTGTCTCATATTTTCTCTCTCTGCATATACCTAGGCTGACTTCAGGATGAGGAAGGCCCTTGGTAGTCCCTTGTATACTCAGACAGATGGTTTATTCAGGCAGAGACACACTGTACGCATGAGTCTTATCCACACATACTGTGGCTATGGCCAGAGAATAAGAAAGCTGGAACAGCACAGCAGAAACTGCTGAGCGAGTACCAGCATCAGGTACAGAGCACAGGGATCTAGTCCACAAGCCCTTGCTTGGCCACAGGTTGGAGACTTAACAAAAAGTCAGGACAAGATGTCAGAAAGACAAGCCTGGACACCTGGGGATGGACCCAGGTCCACCTACTTAAACTGTGCAATAAACTCAAAGTTTTAATCTTTAATCTTTAAACTTTAATCCTCTGGGTTTTGTATCTTTCATACGATTCTCCATAACCCACCCACACAGGTAAATTCACTTTACACTAACTGTTTTTCAATGTGGTATAGACAGTGGATCTAGGACTTAAAAACATCAGAACTTGACAAGGAATACACTGGGAATATAGAGATACTTGAGTCCTGAAACAATTTACTCTGCTTACCATGGACTTTGTGAATTTGTGCTACATATTTGCATCTGACGCTTTAATCTTAGGGTTATCCAAAAATAATTATATCTTTTCATAAACAAATGGACGTATTTTAATGAAAAAATTGTGGCTCAGTATGCATTTATAAAGTAAATGATCATTAGATTCACAACTGCTTACATAAAATGCACAGCAAAAACTATATTTTTCCTAGTTTTGCTGCAAAAACTTGGACTCTATCTCACATGGAGTTATTATACTTTTATAGTGTAAAAATTCATATATTTTATTTCAAAATATTAATTAAAATTAATAAAATGAATGATAAAGAGAATAAGCTTGATTCTCTTGGTTTGTATATTATAGTCACATTATCTATCTACATTTTATCAAAATCATGAGAACATTGATTCATATTTTCCTTAGAAAATGCTACTTAAATAATGTAGATAACATTTCCCATTTATGCATAATATACTTTCAATAGTTTATTTCTAATATAATCCACCTTTTTCAGTTGGTAGTTTCTATTTATTGTATAAAATGAGTACTGCTTGACTTTCATAATTATCTAACAAGTTGTTTAAATACTTGCCACTTTTAGAGAGTTATCTTTTATTTTGGGTTAATTTTAATTATAGAAATTACTAATAATATAGCTTTACTTCAGTTTAAAAATTAGGGTTTTTTGAAGAGTAAGATATTAAGCTGTCAGATAATAATCTTTTTAAAAGGTAAATCTTTTTAAAAGGTGAAAACTTTTTTATTTAGGTAACACCATGTTGTAGTTTTTACCCTTGTTCATCAATTTTATTCCTTCAAAGTATGAGTACTTATTTTAATTTTTTTTTGTTTTGTTTTTTGTGCGTGTGTCATACTCTGCTGTGCTTTATTCCTGGCTCTGTGCTCAGGGGTCACTCCTATCTGCTCAGGGGAAAATGTGTGACAACAAGGATCAAACCTGGCTTGGCAGCATTCAAGAAAAGCACCTTGTGTATTATCTTTTCCACTCCCAAATTATGAGTCTTGATATTCAAACTGTCACACTAACAAATTATGCTAAATTCATTTTTTTATGTTTTTCTATCCACAATTAGTTTTCTGTGATTCTTTGATCTGCATGTCAAATAAACCATGATTCTTGGAAAACACCATTCTACAATTATTTTCCCCCTGCAGGTTACATCAAGATTATCTTTCCGACTTGGAACAGAAATATCTTCTTCATTTCAGATTCTGTGGGGGTGGGGTTAAGAAATATTAGTTCTTATTTAGAGTCCTACCAAATTTATCTGTGTAAAAACTAAGAACTTTATGTCATAAAAATACCAGTTTTAGAAGCACAAAACCAGAAAAAACAATGTTCCAGTCACTAAATTTCTTTAACATTGCACTTAAACACACAGCATACTGTGACACTCATCGCAGATAACATGTAGTGTAGTCAGATGCTAAATTCCTAAGTGTGATTAAAATTTATTTTTCACTAACTTTTCAAATTAAAACATAACTATCATGCCTGACTAATATAAAAAATAATTAATGATTAATTTTCTAGTAACTATTTTAATTTTTCTCTTGGCTTTAGAGTGGCACCCAGCTCTCCTTTGAGTTTATTCCTGATGATAAACTGGGGAACTTACAGAGCTCAAACTCAGCTCTGTTATACGGAAGGTCAAAATTTATCTCCTGTACAGTCTCCCCAATTACAATATTAGGATTTTTAAAACACCTCTGCTGAGATGTCAGAATTTAGAGTAGTAGATAAAGAGCCTTCAAAATATTTTACTTTTATAACAACAATAATAACACCTACTGATCTGCAAAGCAAATTGCTTCAAAACTGTGAGAATTAAAAAGAAAACAGCCTGCAATTATTCACTGTGCACTTATTCAAGAAGAAAAATGTTGATCTGGTTTTAAGAAGTAAAACATTTGGTCTTTTAATATACTGTATTCACCCACTCTTGCTCCAGTTCATTGTAAAGTTGAAAAGCAATTGTAACCTTTATCACTGTCACTGTCCTCCTGTTGTTCATCAACTTGCTCGGGTGAACCCAGTAAGGTCTCCATTGGAAACTTTGTTATTACTGTGTTCGGCATATCAAATACGTCACAGGTAGCTTGCCAGGCTCTGCCGTACGGGCGAGATACTCTCGGTAGCTTGCTGGGGTCTCCGAGAGGGGCGGAGGAATTGAACTCTGGTCGGCCATGTTGGCTGCATGCAAGGCAAACACCCTACTGCTGTGCTGTTGCTCTAGCCCTTTATAACTATTTTATTTCTGATACTAACAGTTAGCAGTCACTGGAGAGGACTGAATGAGTGTTAGCTACCCAGAAAATCTGCCAAGCATCAACCTGGACTTCTCAGGGTCTGTTTTTATTTGATCTAACTCAGTGTTCACCCTTTATGACTGACCTATCTTTAAGATGTTTGTTGAAAACTGTAAATGGTAATTGTTAAATATGACAGCTGTTGATACAGTGGTAGTTGTTGATGTGAACACAAGACAACAATGTTGAAGGCAAAATGTAAGGAATAAAATACAAGGAACTTTAAATAGCTTTAAAATATCACTGATGATATAAAAATAAAATGCATCAAGTGATTAGTCCAAAAATCAGAAAAATCTGCGGAGAAAATAAAGTGACTTAATTTTTGATTGGGGAGTGGACATGACCCACAGCTCTGCCAGAAGCCTGGGGGCTGCTCCCTGTGAGTTTCGGTGTGGAAGCAAAGAACTTGGTGGCCAGATGATGTTCTGCAGATGATGCAGAATTTTGAAGGCCATGAATCTGGTGGTCATGGAGGACATCCCTGTGCTCAAGGGCCAGCAAAGCTATATGGAGTTGGTGCCCTCAAGGCCAGGTAGTGACAAAGATTAAACTTGGGAACTCATGCATAAAAGGCGTAGGCTTTGCTCCCACTGTGATTTATTTCCAGCCCAAGTGATTTTTCTTAATTTTTTGTATCTTGAATTTCTGTTAAAAAAAGGAAATAAAAATTAAGTCAGAATTTCAAACTATCAGAAAATTATTAATGTGCTCGAATGTGCTGGGGTTTATGCGTGGTCTCTTGTAAAAGATTAGCAGACTTTTTGGTCCAAAGTATTTAAAGATATATTACTCAACCATTAGGTGCCCACTAAGATAACTGAGCAGAAATGCTGTGAAGGAATGTGTGTGTGTGTGTGTGTGTGTGTGTGTGTGTTTATTCACTTTACATAGCTGTTGCAGGAAAACAAACACTAAAAAAATAGCAAAATATCTCAAAAAAAGAAACATTGCTTTAAAAATTGTTGCATTATATAAAAATACTTTTTTTGTGGAGCAGGGTGGGAGGCAGTTTGCCATCCCTGGTGGTTCTCATGGTGTGTCCTATCTCTGCACTTAAGGATCACTCCTAGTATGCACTGTTCAGGGGATAAAACTGGCTCAGCTGAGTATAAAACAAGCACATTACCACCTATCCTATCTCTCTTAACACCTACCTCTTTCATTAAATAATATGATTTATACAAAGAAAAATAAACTTTGTTTTCATTTTTTGGAACACACATGTCTATGTTTAGGAATTACTTCTAGCTCTGTATTTTTGGTAGAGTACTTGGAGGACCATATGTGGTCACAGGTCCACTGCATGTAAGGCAAGCACAACCCACTGCAGTATCTCTTCAGATCCCAAGAAGTTTTCATATACGGAAAGAGAAGCACTCATTCAAACCATACCTAAGATAACACGTAAGTTTTTTCAAATATTTTAAATTATTTATTATAGATAGGAATAGTGTTTTAATGGTCCACAATGAATTAATGCACAAAATGAGAATAATCTCTCAATAAGTGGGGATGTTAATGGGATGTTAATAACAAATGACAGCACAGAGTCTCCTGCCCTGGCGCCTGGCTGTCCTCGCCGGGGCCCCTTGGAGGAGGGGGGGTTGAGTCTCCCTCCCTGTCCTGAGCAGGGCTCCGGCAGCCAAAGACCTTCAGAACCAACCACAACCATGCTGAGACCACTCTCCATAAGCATGAAGGTAACGGCAGAGGAACAAAGGCATGCTGGTCCCTGGGCTGAGATCTCCAAACCTGCTCTGATAGGGGCTGAGCATCCTCCACCCATATCCTCCATCTTCCAGTAGACAAGGGTTACACCCACCAATTGCCCCCGGCGCCAGGTAATCCCATCAACAGCCAAGACCCAGAGACTATAAAATCCAGCTCCCGGAACCAACATCTTATTATCTCATTCTTACTTTGGACAACCTGGCAAGGTTACCAAATGTAGCCTGCCCACACAGTAGAGTCTGGCAAACTCCCCGTGGCATACTCAATATGCCAAATACCAGTAACAATGATGGGTCTCATTCTCCTAACCCTGAAAGAGCCTTGAATATGGCACTTTTTAAAATCTCAGGGCTAGGACAAAGGAGACGTTACTGGTGCCTGCTCGAGGCAATCAATGAACAACAAGATGATCATGATCGTGATCGACAGGAATTTTGAATGGAATAAATAAAACCTCAAGAATTGTATATCTAATTTCTTTATAAAGAGAAATTAATTTAGAGGAGAAATTAAAACATTTTCATAAAAGTAAAACCTAAAAGTGCATATTACTACAAGACTTATTTTCGGAGAAATACTAATATTTAGACTTTGGATAGCCTAAATCCACAAAAAATAGAAGAGCATATATAAATTCAGTAAATTTAAAAGAAAGTATAAATACATTTTGTTTATAATTAGCTCTATTATTTTTTAAATTGATGTTATTTATAAAAATAAAAATTTTATTTTCATCATGCTCTTAAAGTGTATCAATGGTTTTCTAAGTGCAAAAATATTTAATATTTATGATGATAATATTATAAAGAGGAACTAATGAGCGAGCTATATGGAAGCAATGCACTATTGAATAATCTCATAATAAGTTTCCAGAAGCTCATATTAAAGGACTTTGATTCTAGACTTTACCCTGGACACCCTGACAGCACTTGGGGATATGTGTTGTTGGAGGTTGAAGCAGCATCAACTGCATGCAAAGAATGTGCTTAATTTTTATGTACTTAAATAAAATTAAATAAAGTTTTAATTTTTGTTGAGTCATCATGACATATAGAGTTGGAAAGCTGATGATGATTGGGTTTCAGTTATTCAGTGTTCCAACATTCAACCTTCCACCAGTGTACATTTCCCACCATTAATGTCCCCAGTTTCCCTCCTGCCACCCTCCCACCAGACTGTGTCTATGGCAGGCATTTTCCATCTCTATCTCTCTCTCTTTCTCTCTGTCTCTGTCTTTGTCTCTCTGACTCTCTGTCTCTGTCTCTCTCTGTTTCTCTCTCTTTCTCTCTCTGTTTCTCCTCTTTTGGGGCATTATAGTTTACAATTCAGGAACTGAGAGGTTATCATGTTCATTCATTTGCCTGTTTTTACCAGGTAGTTATTATCCAGACTGATCATTTCCAAATATCTTTGTCATGGTGGTCCCTCTTCTATCCCAACTGCCACATACTCCAGAATTTAAGGTAAGCTTCCAACCATGGATCAGTCCTCCTTCCTCATGTTTCTACTATCCTTAAGTATTGGTCTCATATTATGGAGACATATATATATATATATATATATATATACACACATATATATATCACTATATCACTGTATCACTGTTATCCGGTTGTTCGTCTATTTATATATTCCACAAATGAGTCCGATCATTCTATGTCTGTCCTTATTATTCTTACTCATTTCACTCAGCATAATATTCTATATGTACATCCATTTATAAGAAAATTTATAACTTCATTTTCCTAACAGTTGCATACTATTGCATTGTGTCGATATACCATAGCTTCTTTAACCTGTCATCTGTTCTCGGGCACTTGTTCTCGGGTTGTTTCCAGATTCTGGCTATTGTCAATAGTGCTGTGATGAACATAGAAGTGCAGATAGCATATATGTTGTGTGTTTTTAGCTCCTGTGGTATACTTCCAGAAGTGATATTACTGGATTGTGTAAAGTTCAATTTCTAGCTTTTTGAGGAATGACCATATTGTTTTCCAAAAGTCTGGATCACTCTGTATTCCCACCAACAATTAAGAAGAGTCCCTTACTCCCTGCATGCCAGCAAGTTTGATCTTGTCTTTTTTTTTTTTTTGATGTGTGGAAGTTTCTGTGGTGTGAGATGATATCCCATTGTTGTTTTGAATTTTATCTCCCTGATCATTAGTGATATAAAAGATTTTTTTATGTGTCTTTTGGCCATTTGCATTTCTTCTTTAAGGAAATTTCTGTTAATTTCTTCTTCCTTTCTTCTTCTTCTTCTTCTTCTTCTTCTTCTTCTTCCTCCTCCTCCTCCTCCTCCTCCTCCTCCTCCTCCTCCTCTTCCTCCTCCTCCTCCTCCTCCTCCTCCTCCTCCTCCTGCTCTTGGTGAGTGTTGG